CTTACTGAAATTTACTGTTTACGTGGAACTAACTGTCTTTGGATAAACGAATTTTATAACTGTGCGTAATTTTTTTTTCTCCAAATTACTTAAAAAAATCTCGAAAAATATGCAAAAGGGAAAATTAACGTTAAGGGATCCAAACTTAGGATCGTTGTCGTGACCAAACTATGGGGGACCATTTTCCCTTGTATTTTGTGGGTCAAAAATCCGAAGGAAAAAAAGGTATTTTGATTCAGACAAAGTAAGTTTTTTGTCTAATTTCATAACATAAAATATCGTCTCTGCATTAATGAATTAGCATATTTGAAGTCAACCGCTCGAATCATTCAGATTGAGTCCTAAAACGTTAAGATGTGATCATTAAATCGTAAAATAACATAAATAACTTGATAAAAGTGGCAAGTAAAGCTATTATAATTTTATAATTCTAATAATTTCATAAAATAAATGTTTTTTTTTTAAAGATTTCATGTATGTATAACAGAGTTGGCCAAAAATGTAATCGATTACATTTTTTGATTACAGTAATCAATTACTTGTAATCATGATTACAACTTTCAAAAAAATTTTATTACAGCTGTAATCATGATTACAATTTTGATTACAGTAATCAATTACTTGTAATCATGATTCCAAGTAATTGCGATTACAAGTAATCACAACAAGAACGATTATGGGTAATTATGATTACAAGTAATCAAAATATATGATTACATGTAATCATGATTACATGTAATCATGATTACATGTAATTTGATTACATGTAATCTGAATACACGATTACAAGACTTATTCTTATAAATGATTATACAGACATCTTAGATTCACACACATGTACATACACTTATGTTGTAAGTATAAAATATATGTACGTATGTATACAGATAATAATTACGTATGTATGTGCAAAACAATGTAGACATGTACCACACAATGAATTCATTTTATGCAAATATTTGTGTATGTAAAATGTATATCTATGTTCATGTACGCATGTATGTACAAGTACTTGTTGTTTGTACGAACATACATACATTGTCTGTACAATGTATGTCCCATGCATGCATGTGCAATTCATTTATGAACAGTATAATATATGCATGCATGTACAATAAAGGTATATATGCAGTATGTACATATATGTATGTATACATGCATTACTACGCATGTATATACAAGTACTTGTTGTTTGTACGAACATACATACATTGTCTGTACAATGTATGTCCCATGCATGCATGTGCAATTCATTTATGAACAGTATAATATATGTATGCATTTACAATAAAGGTATATATGCAGTATGTACAATATATGTATGTATACATGCATTTATACATGTACATGATATGCATGTCCAATGTATTTATGTACATATACACAATATGTTCATGTTCAATGTATGTATCCAAATATGCATAATACATTCGTGTACGATTGTACATACATTGGGTGTATTTATATTTCACAAATATTCATACATACATTCGATATGCATAACGTATGTACAAGGGCGCCGGCAGAATAATATAAAAGGGGGTGCAACAAACTACCCCCTAACAAACTACCCCCCCCCCCCCCCCCCCCNCCCCCCCCCCCCCCCCCCCCCGAAAAAAAATTAAAATATTCTACTGTTACATTTTGTTTTTTTATTACATATTACTTTCATCTGTCAATTTTTTCAAGATACATTTCTTCATTGTTAGCAAGATATTTAAAAAAAAAAGTACGAATTTCTTGTACTTGCAAATTTTACCCGGAGAAACTGTATCGATGGCGCTGGCATAGCTACTGACTTTGAAACACAAATAGTAACTACAAACAGTAGTTTCGTATACTAACGTGTTTGTCCACGCTTAGCATTGGTCTTTATGGTGTTGATGAAGTTTTACAGTTGTGAGAAGTCAGTTTGTGTTATACACCTTTGCAAACTAAATAACTAATAGAAAATATAATATTATTTATATTTTATTAAATGAAATTTAAAAATATAGCTTAGATATCTGCTAAGTTTGTGCATACTCAGTGTGCATAAGAAAAGAATCAAAGATGACTCAAAATTCATTGAAAAAGTTATAAACAGATTTGGACAGCAAGAAAGCCGATTACAATTCTCTTTTGATTAAACAATTTTTTAATTGTTATGCATCAATAATTACTTAATTATTTATTTTTCAATAAAAATATTTGTTTAATAAAAAAATTTTATAACAAAATTTTTCTGTATCTCTTTAATTGCTTTAAAAAAAAAGCCAGGGGGGTGCAAGTGCACCCCCTTGCACCCCGCTGCCGGCGCCCTTGCGTATGTACAAACACACATTTGAGATGAATATATTGTACAGTTGTATATATTGTACAGATGTATATACATATAGCGTACAGATGTATATTGATATAATGTACATATGATGAAATGAACATATAATGTTCATATAATGTGTATATGTGTGTACATATACAGTACATATGTGCATAATTATATTGGGCATAATTCTTTCATACATGTGCACATGCATAGATGTGTGCATTAATACATGTGTACATGCATGCTATCCCTATCTATGCATATGGTGCAATGTATATACGTCCAATGAAAATATCCACACATGTACAATGCACGTATGTTCCACGTATGCATATCCATCTGTACTATATATGCATGTACAATACATGAATGTATGTACATACATTGTACATGTGTACATACATTACACGTATACCTATGCACATTACATTTATGTCTAAATATGTGTACTATGCAAATAAATAAAATGCATGTAAGTTAACTTTTAATGACTCAAGCAAGTTAAATGACAAAATCAAACGATATTTAAATTTAGTTTTCAGCTTTAATTGTTCTATATCATTTTGAAATTCTTTGAATAAAAAATTATTTTCAGGTATTTTCATGAAATGTTTGACAATACAGATTTATTTTTTTTTATAACATAATGCATGATTCATAGAAATTTCTTAAATGGTAAAAAAAACGGTACATTTTATGCGTGGAAATAATATTTAGAAATTTAAAATAAAATTATCGTTTGCTTTCTAAAAAATATGAGGTTGAGTTTTATATGCCTTAGAATAAATTTTAAAACAAACTTTAATAACTTTACTTATATAAATTTTTTTAATGTATGCACAATGTATGTGTGTATTGTAATTACATGTATTGAAATGTACGCATGTATTTATACACTACTTGTAATTATGTACATGTATACGTTGTATGTACATGCGTACATAGCACATATAACTATTTTTTGTACATCTATACATTACATGCGCATAAGTATTAACAAAGTATGTAGTTATACAAGTACATACGTACGTTGTACATAAGTACATACTTTGCGTGTACATATATCGATGTACATAAAAATGTGCATGTATACATGTACGCATTTTATTTACGCAACTATGTGCATATATTGCACCTTTAAATAACATTCTTACATATTGTACGTAAATACGTACAATTTTATATACATACGTACATTGTATATACGTACTATTATCGTAATTTTTTACAATGTATGTACTTAAGTACATAAAAGCATGCAAACGCATAAACATTACTTTCATATACGTTCATACATATATTGTTTATGTATACAAAGATACAAAACATTGCCTTTTTGTACAAACTAACATACATGCGTACATGTATCATAAATGCATAATTATATGTACTAAGCATATGCGTATTGCATTAAGTATATTACATTATAATTATGAATATTGTACGTACAAACAACGTTTGTGCATACATTATATAGGAATCGCAAATTGTACGTTCATGCGTGCGTACATTCTATGTACATAAAAATATGTAAACTCATGCATACTTACATAATGAATTTGCATATAGTAAACAATAGTAATAACTTGTAATCGTATAGTTTGATTACAAGTAATCATAATTACACGTAATCAAATTACACGTAATCATGATTGCATGTAATCATATATTTTGATTACTTGTAATCATAATTACTTGCAATCGTTTTCGTTGTGATTACTTGTAATCGCAATTACTTGGAATCATGATTACAAGTAATTGATTACTGTAATCTAAATTGTAATCATGATTACAGCTGTAATCAAAATTTTTTGAAAGTTGTAATCACGATTGCAAGTAATTGATTACTGTAATCGACTATGTAATCATGATTACTGCTGTAATCAAACTTTGTAATCATGATTATAAGTAATTGATTACTGTAATTGAAAAATGTAATCGATTACATTTTCGCTCTACTCTGATGTAATCAAAATTTTTGATTACTTGTAATTGTGATTACAAGTAATTGGTTACATAGCTGTAATTATCTGTAATCAATTACAGTTGTAATCGATTACTGCAATCGACGGTCAACTCTGATGTATAATAGGTACTTTGAACAGGTAAGATTAATTTTAAAAGCAAAGGAAAAGAATAAGTACCTGAAATTTCGAGATTCTGCCAGATAAAAATATCTTGTTATCCCCTTAACGATCGGTTAATTTTCAAGAAAACGGTCATAAAAGTGCCTATTTTTTTATTAGTGCTATTTGATTAGTGCTGACATCTAGTTTAAAATAAATTAACTATCTACAATTATTTTAAAAATATCCTGGTACTGTCTTCTGGTGTGTAAAATGAGAAATAAAATGTTTTCCGGGATAAAGAAATGAATTAGTTTTATTCTTATTGGCGCGCTACTACTGAGCACTCCAGTCCGGAAATATAACGGAAGCGAGAAATAGAGGGCGAAACCTCACCCCGTAATTTTCACGGGAGCGAGAAGGAAGGGGTTAATCACTAAATGTTAAGTTGACGTGAAAAAGTTTGTTTCGTTTCATCTCTCTAAATTTTGACACTCGACCAATCAGAAAATGTTACCTTAGTGTCGTTACTATCTAACGTAGTTAGATGTCAAGGAGCTCTAAGATAGCCCAGCATCAAAGCTGCTTCTTCTTTGAATGAAAATTAGAAAGAATGAGACCAACAGTACTTTAAAAACAACAAATATATTACAGTTTTTGCATAAATAACATGACTAGTAACACGAATCCAAGTGTTCCTAAAACAGTAGAGGTTGCCTGCACAGCACTGTTACAGCCATCACCAGTACAGAAGCAGACTGAAATTCTCCCTAGACGTCCAGTCCTGTATAAGCAGGCCACATCAGGGTTATAGGCAGTCGCAGCACATTTACGAACCATAAATTTGTCTTCAGATTCTACATTAAAGAAAATCATAATAAAATGCTAAAATTGAAATGATTTACATGGGTAATATTTATAAAAATGCAAAATAAAAACCTTGGGCACAGCAAATTGATAGGTCACGTGTACAATAAACAATTCCTTGGAATCGTTTTCTTATACATGGTGTCCTGACAGGGAATAAATTTGAGATTATGTAAATCCTGGTTTTTGTTCGAAAACTTTTCAACAGATGGCTCTGCAGTAAGTAAACTCATCAATCAAGAAAATATAATTAAAAATATCATCACAATTTTTCGGAATCTTTTAACCTCAAAAAATGACTTGGAAAAATCATGAGACAATGCTTTTAAAATAACCTCTTTTAGCAGCAATGCTCTCTTAGGATAACATTATCAAATGCTTGTGAAGATATGTCACTTGAAATTATGTATAATGCGGCAGAAACGTTTTTAAGTTTTTTCAGACATCAGCCCCATCTACTGGTGAACTTTGTAAAAAATTTTAAAAGTGGATTGGAATAAATATGGATTCCACAACAAGCTGTACATTCCTATTATATATTTATTTTTTAAATCGTAGACTATTTTTTAGATCACCAAGTGGTATTAAAATAAAATTAAGTAACAAAAAAATTTTAATTTAATTTTTTTCTTTTAACAGTAAATGCGTCAGTCATGAACAGTCTATCATAATAACGGTAACAGTAGTTCCCAAGTCAAAATTTTTGATGGTCCCACAAAAAATTTCGATGGTTTATGTTGGTTTCAGTGCGATTCATGATGGTCCAACATCATTTGATGGTAACCATCATCCAACACTTTCCTTTATGCATTCATAGTTTTTGATATGTCAACTAACTTCCATCATTCCAGGATGGAAAATGCTACTTTAATACCATGATGGTTAGCCATCAAGATAAGTTTGATTCTCGTAGATCAATAATCCATGATGATTCTTGATGGTCCATGATGGTTCCAACTACACATTTCCATGATGGTTTAAAGGGAAATTCTTTTTGGTTCTCACGAATATACCATCAAATAAAAAACTTTTTTAATGTAGGACCATCATAAATCAGTCCGAATTCCTATGGTTACTAATGCTGGTCATCATCAAAAAATATAATGGTTCATGATGGAATTATTGATGATTATTATGTTGGGCCATCAATTGAAAACCATCAAAAACTTTGACTTGGAGTAACTCTTTTAAACATATTCCGATCCAATGTAAAGTAATACCAACCATCATTGTCCATAAAATCCACCCATTGTTCTTGAATTCTACAAGATTTATTATGTGATGCGGGACAATCAATAAGAAATTTTGTGCTGTTTTTGGGTATCCATAGGCAGTCTTCTTCTCCTTCGATTTTTGAATTACAGGAATAGCACTTTATAGAAAACACTAAAAGACAAAAGAAATAATTTAGGAACTTAATTATTGCGGAATACATTATTGCATTTTAATTCAAATAAACGCGAGAACTTGAAATATGCATTTTTAATGACACTATAAACTTTATGGCATTTTTAATGGCACTTTGGTACTCAGCACTTTAACTATAAAAGATTTAATTTGATAATTTAATGCTAATTTGATATGGTGAACTATTTAATCCTGCTACCCCTGCGTTGATGATAAATCAGAACGGCCATTGTGTTTAGTAATACCCGAAATAAAAATATAATTCAAATATTTGCAAACAACTCATGTTATTTTAGTAAAAAAATTGCTGCTTTACTTGTGATTATTTTATAATATACTAAATGGTGTAACTTTTCCTTACTCTCAAATGTGTTCTTTAATGTCAGTTCATTCGCTGTGAATTGAAAAGAATTCATATAGTATCGAATAAAAATAAATATCTCAGAATGTGCATTAAACTTATTTTTATAATGAGAACTATATAAGCTAGCAAATAGCACCGATGCAATCGTTAAAGTATTTAAAAAAAAAAATTACAGAATCGTCCACAGTTTCCATTTTATCAATGGCAAGTTTTAAACCATGAAAAAATAAAAATTTTCAAACGTCTCTCCCAAGTTATTTAACTAAAATTTTTGAATTATTTTTAGGATCGGGGGGTAAAAATTTCCCTTTCACCCACTATCCAAATTTCAGGACGCTAGCATAAGCAGTTCTAAAAATATAAGAGAGACAGACACACAGACAAACTCTTCATGTTATAATTATAGATATAATATTAAGTAATAATTAATTAAAACTGCAATAATATACAACGACTCATTCATGAAATTGCAAATACATAAGTATCTATATATAGTTAATTAATATAATTAACGTATGTGTTCGACAATAAAGTTGCATGCTACTATAAAATTATAGTTAGATAGACGTATAGTAATATAATTAATATATATTAATGTAGACATCTTTCTAGGTCAGAAATGATCAACAATTATCACATGTGGCGCGTAAAGCCTATCAGTGTGTCACGCGCACCCAGTTCAACTGGGAAAAAGTTTATAAATAAATGATATTAATTATTAATTTATGTTGGATTAGTTGTTGGAGTTTTGTTGGATTAGTTTGCAAGTTTTTGAATCAAAAAGAAGAAATGACTACATCGTGCTTTAAACTGGAAAGATTTTAGGAATTAAAAGAGAATTATGTTATGCTTTTTGGAGTAAAATATGAAACGTGTTTAAAATAAGAAAAAAATATGAGAATATATGTGTGGAAAATTTTTTTTACTTTTTTCTTTCTTTCTATCACGTATCAGCTCATAGTATTTCATTTTATAACCGGTGTTGAGCAGTCGATCCAATCCTGAGTTTACAACTATCAATGTTTAACTCCGTAGCCTTGTAATTTAGAATCCATCCCAGAAGAAACTCATGGATCAATAGTTGGGACAAACTAGCCTTTATGGAAGACTTTTCGGTAGAACAAACCTACATCTGCTTTATATGGAGAGGAAAACCACGTAAACCTCCCACGGTTAGCTCGATGGCAAGAGGATTCTAACCAATGATCTATCTACCAATGAGGATATTTTACGACAGCACTGTGGTCGGTACGAGATGGGAGTAGAATTCGTATCAGCCAGCCACCGTTAAGTCATCTCATTGGTAGGTGAACGCTCTATCCCCTAAGCCACCAATCTCTTACCATTGATTGTTTTCGAAAGAAAAATATCCTCAAATTTAAAATTTTTTTCCTCTTGAATTGTTATTAAATCTTATATAAGCATAGCATGAAGACTTTTTCCCCTGACAGAAAAATAAGCAGAATTTAAACTGCGTTTTTCTCATTATACGTGTACATATATCCCCTTGCTTTAGTTTTTTTTTTAAATTTACGCACCTTGTTTCTAATGTAAGTAATTTATATTCAAAACGTCATAAATAAACTAGAGACGCTTTGATAGTGCATTAACAAGGGGAAAAAATTTACGTGTTTGGCGTAGTCAAACTCAAATTTTATGTAATCGCGCGTGGTTTAGACGTCTACAGATAGTAATTTATTTATTTATTTATTTATTTTTTTTGCTGACTCAAAACTCTTTCAGACTCTTTTTTAACAGAAAAAGCTCAATTCACGTGCTATTGAATGCTTCAATATAAATCAACTTTGTCAAATGTCGCTGTTGTTACCTTATGTCAAAAAGGCAAACTATGCATTCAAAATTCGAAATTTATTTTTAAATTATTTATGAAATGTTGTTGCATTATCACCGACATTTTAAAAGTCTTGTATAACATGAAAAAATTGGTTAAGTCTATAATATATAAATCTAAAAATAAAGTCAAGAATTAAAAATTTGAAAACAAATCCAAAAAAGGGAAATTTATGAGAATTATTTGCTCATAAAAAGAATCTTTTTAGCGCCTTTAAAAAAACAACATAAATCAAAATTATATTTTAAAAACTCATTATTGTGAAAGCGACAAATTAAAAATGTTTTAGATTCAAAAGATAGAGAACGAATACCCAAAAGGCGCAATTTATTGGAATCATTTCTTCAAAAATTGTGTTCTGTTTCTCCTTTTGAAATAATATTTTTTAAGAAAAATTAAATATGCTGAGATGATTTTTGAGTTACGTAATATTTTAAAAGCAAAAGTTTAAAAGAAAATTAAGATTCGAAACTAGAAAACGATTTCCAAAAGACCAATTATGATCATTTATTCAAGAAAATGTTTGCTTTTTTTCTTCTTATCACTTAGAAGTAAGTAATACCTTTTAGAAAAATATGTCAAGATGATTTTTCAGAAACAAATTATTTCGAAAGCAAGAGCTCAAAAAAATTAAGATTCGAAGTAAGAAAACGCAATTTATTAGAATCATATTTACAAAAAAATTTTCGTTCTCTTTATCACTTTGAAATAATATATTTTAATAAAAACAAAATGTAACCAGAGGCTCAATAATTGTCTCAATTTTTGATTAAGTCATTTAGAATTGGGTACTTGCACTTCAAAAAGAAGAAGAAGACCTCCAAATGACGTCAGCGTCGGCCAATCTTTATCAGCAAAATGGCGTATTAATCTTGAGCTAAGGTTTATCTACATAAGTTAGAATGTTAACGATCATTTACTTAAATCCAGAGCTGTATCACACACCTAATTAGTTGAAATATAATTCTTTTTCGTTAACTTCTTTTACTTAACTTAGATTTATTATGTGTTTAATTGTAACCGTGATATATTTTTGTTTTGTGGACCTGGCAACTTCGATGCATGTTTAGTTTGTTTATGCTTCACATGACTTCGTATCTGTCTTTGTGTTAAGTCTCTGTGTAATGTTTTAGATTATATAATATGGAGTGAAATAATTGAAATATTTGGGAAAGAATCTTAGTGAAAGAATTTAAAAGGTGTCACTTAGGAGAATTGTTACTTGAAGGATTTTTCTTACACGAAATAGAATGCAAAGAACAGTTGCAAACTTAAACAAATGCCACGTTTCAGTTGGTTTGTTGTCAAAAAAAATTGTTTTGTTTCCTTCATTATAAATATTAGTAAGCACATATTTGGATTCATTAAATTAAAATAAATTAACGGGTTATTTTTTCAATTCGTTAACTTTTGCGTACTTAAGCAATCTTCCTCATCAAAATATTTATTTTCATTATTTAATGATATGGTTTGCTTAAAATATTCATAAAGAGTGAAAAAAAATATGCATCAGATGCATTTTTTTTTTAAACTATATTTTTTTTTAAATAAATAGATATGAAATATTATTAATACTCAATGTCATTGTTACTTAATATTACTTATTATTATTTAATGATTACTTAAATGTATGGTCTTAATGAAAATATTATCAACATAAAGTTACTCATGAAATGAATTTTTCCGAATTATCTTAGGTAAAAGTTCCCCTTTTTTTTTTTTAAAATCAACCCAATTTTATTATTTAATAACCCTATTTATTATAACATCCCATTTTATCTGGCTTTTTATTTTTTTGTTTTCTTAAGTTGATTTTTTATTAACATTTAAAGTAAATGTTTTTGACTAAACTTCGTAAATTTTATATTTCAACTTCAATACACTATTAGTAATTTTGGAATGTTTAGATGGTATTATCATGCGTCTTGAACATTATTTCTCGATATTTAAGTTCAACGTGAACGGGAATGTTTTTAAATGTAAGACCTTATTTAAGTTCCGATAAATTAGCGCCGTATTAAGGTTTCAGGTTCCCAGTAATGTAGTTCCGCACTAAACCAATTTTTCTTCGAGTTAAAAGATGTTTACCGTTCTTTAAAAGCCTGGTAATTTAGCTGCGATGACTAAGGGTATCAAGAGTTCGCCATCCAATGAGGTGAAACGGGTTCGAACCCCAGCGATGAATGAGCGATACGAATCCTGCATCCGGCTTGCACCAACCACAGTGCTAACGTGAAATATCCTCAGTGGTAGACGGATCATGGGTTAGAGTAAGAGAGGCGAGTTAGTTCCATCAAGAAGTCCTCCACGAAGGCAAATTTCTCCCGACACTTGATACAGGAGTTCCCTTGTCTTCTGGATTGGGTTCAGAATTACAAGGCCACAGAGTTGAACATTAATAATCTCAAACCCAAAAATTGGGTTGGCTGTTCAACGACGGTTATAAAAAATAAAAAACCTGGTAATAGTTTACTAAAAAATAACTCTTCAAGTGAAAAAGATTTTTTTTTTTTTTTTTTAAATCCATTATGTAGTTCTGAGGTAAACAACATCAAGTTTGTCCATTTCAACATGAATAGAATAGGGAAATACGACTTCTCCTTAATGTAGTACGATATTCTCTAACTGTGAAATTCCTTGATTGATCGTAAAAGTTAAGAAATGTTTATATTTCCTTAAAAGAAAGATGGAATGATTGTCATTGTTCGGTAGTTCCAAATCATTCTATTTTAAGTGCCTGGCGTAATGATTTGTGATAATTCTGGTCACATACAACATTTTATAAAGGAAGAAAAATATTTAATAATCTCAATTGGCACGTTAATTATAGACATACCGTACTCAATTATACCTTGTGAAAGACCCTTCTATCCTTATTGCACGTTGTCACATTTTTTGATCACAGCACCAAGGTCAAATATTTATATAACGTTTACTAAGGAAAATATAAATAGATTTTATTCAGTTAAAGAGAGGTACGATGTGATAATTTATGTATGAACTTATTATGAGTTATCTTCGTTTACTAAGTTCAATTATCATTCATTTTATTATTTTGAGTTTTATTACTGTTAATTGCTTAGTAAAAATACAGAAATTTAGTCCGATTACATGACTTTATTATTAGTATTATTATCATCAAATTAAACAACATTCTGTAATTTCTTGTGCCGTGAGCTGTAAATAATGGAGGAAAATACAAAATATGACTTACGAATATGTTGCTTAAATGTAAACTCATAGATGCCATAATTTTTTATTTCTCTTTATGTGGCACCAAAAACGTGGGTATTTCTCTATCTAAATAGGCAATATCTATATGAGCCATCAATAACCTATGTTAGGTTGTCCTAAGTAATAATTTAAGTAGCGATTTAAATTTTATACATTTTAAATAATAAAATATCCTGAATTTAATACGTTTATTACATTGCACATAATTGAAACTATCCCTTGTACTACAATTTCCTGGCACCTTATTTATTAATTTTTTTAGTAATTTCAAAACTTAAAATTTTTGCAATATATATATANTTTACTCGAGAAAAAAAATAAAATAGAAATTCACCAAATCTTGAATGCCAGGAAAATGACATATTAGCTTAGATGTTTAAAGTCATTTTAAGTTAATAGTAAGTAACTCAACTTAAGCCTTCATGTTAGATGGACCATAAATTGCTTAAATTAATTCTTTTTATCCACTGTAGGAAGAATCAAATTCTTTTTTTGTTGCTGATATGTACAGACTAAAATTGTGTATAACAATCAATCATTAAATAAATAAATAACTTTGATTACATCCAACCATATTACAATCATACATAAATTTGGTATTAGGTTAATATTTGCTTTTTCTCCTTACAGTATTAGCAGTTAAAAAAAAAATTGGTAACACTTCAATGTTCTGGAATTCATAAGACAGGATAATGACAAATTCACCATTTTATAGCATATAACTTTACTTTAATTTAATATTTTGGCCTAAGACGTTTACATTCGGCAGAAAACAACAGGATTTCTTAAAATAACTCAGATTCTATGTAGTTTATGTTATTAATGATTTCAAGAAGCCAGGAATATGACAATACAAAAACCTACTCATCTTGAAAAAATAGATTCTGAACCAGAAAATTGGTTCTTTATTCATGCAACAAGACATGTTCATACAGGATCTATTAACATAAGATATTGATTGCTGTCTCTATCTGTTTTGGTTATAAACCACTAAATAAAAGTAACCAGGAAAATGACAGATTTTCTTGGGACAAACAAATTATTGACAGAAAAAATGATTTTAAGCGAAGTTTTTGTAAATAATACCCTCTGCGTATATTCTAAAAATGCTTACACCGGTTGAGATAAAAAAAATTAGATATTGAAAAACTTATGGGAAGTTTTGAAGCTAGTTATTATTAGAAACATTGCTTGGGACATGCCAGGAAAATGATATTCTGAAGTCCAATTCAATTTTTTAACTATACAAAACTGTCAATGCTAGTGCAAAGTCATTTTAAAATGCTAACAGCAGTGCAATTTATTAATTTTTCTAAAAAAATGCTCTTTATTACCTATCAGTTAGTATAATTTATCTACTTTTCTTCATGAAAAAAATACTACTTTTCTCCAAAAAAAATTCTAAATTTCATTTCTTTTGCTTTCTTCCCCCCCCCCCCCCATTTAATTCTGAAAATCACTAACAACAGTTCTATTAAACAGCTTTACTGAATACAAATGAATATAAAACAGACACTGCAGAATTGTTAGGCAATTTTTCAGAAGAATAATTTAACTTAAGCAAATATTAGTGATCCCAAAACTTTTTTTCTTTATAAAATCATCTTTTTAATTTACTCACCGTTTAATAATACATTAATAAAATAAAAACATATTGTTAAACTACATCGAATGGACTATGCAATTATAAGAATAATTTTTAATTTAATGAATTCCTTTAGCATAAAGTTAATTTTTAATTAGCATAAAGAATAATTAACTAGCATAAAGAGTAATTTCTAATTTATTTAATTCCTTTTAATAATTTTGATTTAAAAAAATTACTGTGTCTAATTGTGTTAAATATTTATTGTTATTGCATTACACAATGTTGAAGTTTTTGTTTAACACTAAGTGCATTTAATAGCTTAAACAAAAAATAAATCTCAGCGTATGAACAATTCAAAAAGTAAGAGACTTGACTTTGAATTACAGATCTTTTCATATTTCCTTAACGAGTTTGATAAAATGAAATAAAATCTTATCTAAATATTTAATCAATATAACATATTCTTACCACAACTGATATTGACAATGATTAGAAGTAAGCCAAGCAATAGAATGTCCAATTTTAAATCCATTTTTGTTACTGTTAGTTGATGGGGAATAACAAACGGATAGCTCAGCCAGTCATCATGTTTTCAGACCTACTATAATTCTCGCTCTTCATTTTCAAGGTAAAAGTTCCAGTTTTTCCTTCATTAATTCACTTGCATACATTCAAATTTTTAACACCGCCAAAAGAAAGAAAAAAGCGATAAATGAAAGCGCCAATGACTTCGAAATTTAAGCATTTTTAAAGGATTTTATCTGGTAGAAATAACGATTTAGCAGCGCAAGAGCAAAATAATAAAGAGGTAGAATAGCAAGGAAAATATCAAGACAAAATGCATTTAAGGATATGAAATAAGTGGCCACATTAGAAGATAAAATTTAAAAAACAAATATGTAAATGATCATTATTACATTGTCTTTTGCTTCATGAGTTTTTATCTCCCTTTATCTCATTAGATTAATCGAAATTTTATTGTATTGAAATTTGTAAACTGAGAGTTAAGGTAAATTTTGAAGAAAAATTAAAGGAAAATTATTTATGTTAAGTTTTTATTGATAAGACGAAATTAATGTAACTATGGATAACGATAAAAGATGCCATTGCATCAGAGTATTCGCGCATGTAATGAGCTACAGTAAATAAAATAATAATAGGAAATACTACGCGTGCAAAATACTTTTTCATAAATATTTGAAATTTTTAAATCTTCTGATACCAACTAAAAAATTTACCTATTGAATTTTTTAAGAAACATTATAAGGTAAAACTAAATCGTGGAAGTATACAAGAAAAAGAAAAATGTCAATTAAAAATAAAGGAAGGTAAGAAATAATTTAGACAAAATTTTAAACGATATTTTTTTTAGTCACATATCACAAACGCATTTTGGAATATGATTTGTTTTATTGTTCGAAAAAGCTTTTTGGGAACTACAAATAGATCTTCCAATAGAATTTTGTTCTAATAGGCAGAGCTAAAATCACCGGAAAATAAAGCAGAATTATTTTCCTTTCAATGCATTAATTAACCACCCTATACACCAGACTTCAATCCAATGGATTTTTATTTTGATCCATCTTAGCGACTAGAGTTTGCCCTAAACGTCCTGCGATTTTGACTTTCCTAAAAATATGTCCTTGTAGAAGTAGATGAGACTATCTTTGTATGCCAAGGAGGAAAGTTTTGTGACTGGGTTATAGGGACTCTGCAGGTGGGAAAAGCAAGCTTATATCACTTTGAGAATGCATAAATCGTGGTATTTTTCGTATTTATTAGAAAGTTTGAATGTAAGATTATTATAAGCATTGATTATATTTTATATTTGCTTAAGGTTTTTTTTTTTGTATCCCTGTTAAGGTAGTATCCCTGTTGTTCAACCATTTGTTCTTGACAATTAATCTTAAGCTAAATTTTGCATTTCTATAGTTGTGTGGATGTTGAAGTAGTTAGTACCTTATGCATACTAAACATTCAACAATTAGTGCTTGCTGTCGATATCTATAAAATGTAGATGACCCAGTTACAGCAACTTTTTCCTATATAAGGGTGAAAAAAATAGATTTTAAAAAGTTTAAATTTTGAGAATAGGGTCATGTTTTTGAAAGGAATAAAAATAAACAAGAGCACAACAAAGGGTTTAAATCTAAATGTTCTGTTAAAGCTATTCATTATGTTGTTTACTTAAAATATAACAAAGGTATTTGTAGAGCGCGCCACAAAAGTTTAGGCACGCATAAAATTTGTCTATAAATCCTTAAATAGCGCAGATTTTTTTCCACTAATTTTATTGAATATGTAATAAAACAATACCTAAGTAATACATAAAACATTAAAACAGAAAAAGAGAAAATGTTTACATTTTAACCAATTTCAACTACCACAAAAGTTTAGCTTGCGTTGACTAATTAGAAAATGTTTAAGTCAAAAATAATAAATTAATGATAAACAATAAAATTTTAATTTATTAATAACTTTTTAACACACATTCTCAATTCCTAAATTAATCGTTCCTATTAAACTAATTTTAATATTTCAAATTAATTTTTCCTTTTCCCATAAATTTCATTTTAGGTTTTATATTATATACAACTTAATAAAATACAGTATTCGAAAAATTTGTTGCATATTTTATATAAAAAAGATAATAAAAACTTAAACTAGTAAAAAAAAAAGCCATATTTCCTCATTAAACGATTTTTAAATCATTTAAAAATGGTTTTTGATTTTATTTTGTATTAAATATTTAAATTATAATTTGTTCTAAGAAGTTTCTAGTTATTTGAAAATTGGGTGCAAGAATTTGTTAATGTTTAATGAGATTATAGAATATTAGAGAAGTTTGTCAAAATGCTAACTAACATGAATCAATGTATAAGAAACATCTGCGTCTAAAATCCAGTTTTTGCCACTCAGCTGGTGTGGTGGATTCAGTCTTCAACCAACACGGTTTGGACCAATGCCAGTCGGGATTAAACTCCCCTTTAACCGGCATCTGATTGGTCCCCACATTATCCGATCCCGTGCTAGTGAATCTAATGTACTTGTACAACTGTCGTTGAACAGTAGATCCAAATTTGGGTTTACGACTACCAGTGCTCAACTCCATATCCTTCTAATTTTAAACAAGGACAAGAAGGCAAGGGAACACCTAGATCAAGTACTGGGAGAAATCTGCCTTCGTTTAGGATTGTTTGATGCATTAAACCCGCATTTGCGTTACACAGAGAGGGAAACCTCGAAAACCTCCTATGGCTAGCCTGACGGCAAGGGGACTCTAACCCATGATTCGTCTACCACTGAGGATATTTTACGTCAGTACTGGGATCGGTGCAAGCCGCATACTGAATTCGTATCAACCAATCCTGGTTCACCTCATTGGAAGGCGAATGCTCTATCCCTTGAGCCACCACGGCTCAATCTAATGTACTTGGTGGTTTCAAAGAAGGGAACGTCTATAAAAAGTGGGTGGCTAGGGAGTGCGGTGTGAAGGCCAGTTTATTATTACCACTACCTGTCCTTCAATATAAAATTGTAGTAATGTAACTCACGCATTTGCCAGTTTTGTCTCCGAACCAGCTATATGCACGAATCCCACTGAAATCTAGCTTAAATAATTATAATACTCCCAAAATATAGGTCTACTTTAACCACAAGATCGTTAATTAAAACAAAAAAAAAATATGTCTAGCTGTGAATTAAAAAATAATCACTATAAAAGTATGAAATAACTGGTAACGTTAAAAATTTTATAAAGGTTTAACTGTTTTCGCGGTATTGACTCGAGGAGGGGGAGTATTGTATGAGTGTTAAAAATCCTCTGAAATCATCCAAGTTTGAAGATGTAACATTGAAGATGCAAAACTAATGGAACAGGGGAAATTAATTTACTTGTTACAATCTGTAACTGTCTGTATACAATTAAAGCTCAAACTGGAAGAAGACATATTTCTTCATTAAATAATTTTTAAATATTCTAAAAGTGGTTTTTAATTTTATTTTGCTTTAAAATACAGGGTGTTTATAAAGTCCCAGACCCATTTTGATGTTTAATAACGCATAAAATAATAAAGATAGATTAAAATTAATAACATAAATCGTTAGATAGACTCAAAAAGTTTCATGACCCTTTTCAATGAACTTCCACGTGTGCCCCCTTCGTCGCACGGAGATTATCAAGTCGATATCAAGGCCTAGGAGGATGGCATTTGCAACAGATATGGTTGGAAGGATAGAAGATGATGCTGATTTTCTGAAGCACATAATGTTCTCCGACGAAGCATCCTTTCATGTTTCTGGCATTGTTAATCGCCATAATGTGCACATATGGGGATCTGTAAACCCCCATGAATACCGTGAGACACAAAGGGATTCCCCAAAGGTTAATGTGTGGTGTGGACTAATGCACGACAGAGTCATTTTTTTACCCGAGTCACGACCGGCCTTTCTTTTTTACAGAAAAGACGGTCTCATCAGTCGTATACTTAGACATGTTGGAAAACTTCGTATTTCCACAACTAGAAGAGCTTCAGCCACATGTCTTTTTGCAACAAGATGGTGCACCACCTCATTGGGGTATCATCGTTCGTAGTTCTTTGAATGGCCATTTTCCAGGAAGATGGATTGGGCGAGGAGATCCAATTCCTTGGCCACCCAGATCACCTGATATAACGCCGCTGGACTTTTTTCTTTGGGGATTTATACAGGACAATGTTTACAGGAAGATTGTGTCGAACATTGATGACCTAAAAGCCAGAATTACAACCGCAATAGCCTCTGTGAATGCCGACATGCTTGCCGCTACCTGGCGTGAAATTGACTATCGATTTGATATTCTCCGTGCGACGAAGGGGGCACACGTGGAAGTTCATTGACAAGAGTCATGAAACTTTTTGAGTCTCTCTAACCATTTATGTTATTAATTTTAATCTATCTCTATTATTTTATGAGTTATTTAAACATCAAAATGGGTTCGGGACTTTATAAACACCCTGTATTTAAATTACAATACGTTCAATGACTGTGATCTTGGTACAAACGAACATGAAAAACAGTTTTATCTCCCGAAAATGCTACTAGTATTAATGTAGTATTTTAATTTAACGTTAGCTCAGAACTACTAAACAATGGAGTAAAGAACTGATAGTCATTCCAGTAATAGTTAAAAATTATAGCTCTTAATATGATAAACGACTACTTAACTTTACGAGGTACTACATATTATAATTATTTATTCCTCTGCGTAGGTGTTCAGTATCGCGAAGTGAAATTTTCGTCTGCGCGAGATTTTGATCGTGTTAACGTGACTTCAGAATATACGAGAAATTGTTTGTATAAATCGTCGCGTGTCAGTCACGGAATGGAACATACAATAAACAAATTCCAATAATAAATTAAGCTAATTTCCAAATACAGGCAAAAAATATATATTTAATGAATCAACAGGAAGAAATATAAGCGAAATCTTGCTTCATATCTGTCTTTTGATGGCATGTTTTGATTGGCAGGAACTCCAAATTGTTTAAATAATGTCTTTAAAAAAAACTTTTCCTTCTTCTTTTATGAATTTTTGCTTTCAAAAACTTACATTAATTCGAAATTCAAGGCTAATATTTGAGTAGCTTACTTTCCTCTTCACTTCGTATTAAAACACTTCCAAGAGGTATATTTACCTTTGCAAGGTCATTGGAGACCTGACAAAGATGCTACATGTTTAACAATAATGAAAATTACGACGACATGGATGTTGGTTTAACCTTTATTGTTCTTTTCATGCTAAACTGCGGGTTATACAGG